GCTCAATGGATCAATGTCTGCTCCCTCAGCACTTGTGATCTGGTTGGGGACATAAAAAGTTAGAGAATTAGATACCCTATAATCAAGAAGCAAAATCAATAGAGAGGCAGTTTATTGTAGTTGCATAGGTTTCTAGAAAGAAGAAGATAAAAGGAGTGGCCAAAGAGTGGCCGAGTCAATACCTTTGGGAAGTTCTGCACACTACTTCTTCCAGGAGAATCACAGTGCATATTGGCATATTAAAAAGTTCTTTTCTTTCAGTGAAAGAACTGTCCCAGCCTGGGTTCTCTCAGTGACAAAGCCTGCCAAAGACTGTGTGTGGGGAGTTTATTAGGAAGCGTGAACCCAGAGGGCAGGGGCAAGAAGCCAGGGGAGTGAGGAAGGCAAGGACAGGAGCCTGCACAAGTACGCATGGCTGAGCCAGCCGCCATGCAGGGCACCTGCTGCTTGACTCTGCAGGACTTCTGCTGGAAAATAAAACCAAAACATGGGAAAGCAGGGCAAAAGAGGGTGGGATCAGAAAGAGAGGGTGGGATCTCGGGAGCCTCTGACTAGAGCCCTATCCAGGGTGTCTTGGAATTGCTCCCCTAGGAGACAAAAGAGGGCGCATGTATCCATCGGCTCCTGACATGCCCTGGCCAAGGGGGCCTCCAGTGTGCACCGACTCCCTGCCCCTCAGGGAGTCCTTCCCTTGCACTAACCGGGCTGCAGCGTCAGAGAAGCCCTGAGTCAGGAAGCAGAGGCTCCAGGTGTTGGGCTGGGGCGAGGCAGTGCCCGCGGGCGCCTCGCCTTGGGTGAGCCTGGCCAAGCCTTGCGCAGCTGGGCTCCAGACGGTGGCCCATGAGGATTGCAGATTCGTGCACGAGTGCGGGCCACTCCAGACACCCATTTAGGGGTCAAACTTCTTGTTATCTGCCAACCCGTGGAATTATTATCCTGCTGAATACATTTTGTTGAACAGAAGAATGCTTTCTTTGAAATGATAGCTGCAGGAGTTGGTTAGACAGGGCTCTCTCCAGGGGTTCAGATAATGTTTCCCAAATCTCTCTTTTTCTCTGCTGTTTCCCGGCTTTGCTAGGATTTGGCTTCATTTTCCAGCAGGCTTCTTTCCCGCATGGCAGCAAATACGAATGCTCGTAACTCCCACTTGTCACTCGTCCCACTCCTTCCTTGCACTTAGGTGCGAGCACCTGACGGCTTCCAACTGACTAACGGGAGGTGCGTCCTCCCTCGTGTGTCCCCACCGCCCTGCCTCTCCTCTCCAGCGGCCCCAGGCTGCAGGGGCTCAGCCAGGACTCTGTGGCCCCCCGGAAGGAGGGAGCTTGGGTTCCCAATTCACTGCTTGAAAGGCCATTTGGCAAGCGCACACATTGCACCATTAAGCAAGCAGAAGCGAACAAGGAAACAAAGGCCCCGTAGTGTGAAGCCACTGCAATCTCTGTGTCCTTTGTCACAGCAGTTAGCCTCTCCTGACTAATACACCTCTCACGACCTATACGGCCAAATCAATTTTCCAAAGGAATTCTCGTTATTTCAATTTGGGCCATTTGACCATCCACTGGACTAATCAGAGTTTCCAGGAGCTTGCTGGGAGGGTGGGGATTCTTGACTCCCAGCAGAAATGCATGGGATGGGGACAGGATAGTTTCTAAAATGAAGAGAAATGGGACCGGAGGGGAAATAAAGGACTGACATGGGGCAGTTGTTATGGGATTATATGCGAGGAGTCAGGGCATCTGCCATGGCTTGAATGTGTCCTGAAAAAGTTCCTGTGTTGGGTACTTGGTCCACGATGTGGCAGCGTTGACAGGTAGGACCTCTGGGAGGCAATTGGCTCCGGAATGGATGCATAGATTAATGGATTCACGGGTTATTGAGGAAGCGGGTTAGTTGGCACGAGAGTGGGTCTGTTACAAAAGCCTGTTTGGCCATCTCTCACGAGCCCCCTCACCTTGTGACGTCCTGCACCCGAGTTGGGTCTCTGCAGATAGTCCCCACCAGCAAGAAGACCCTCACCAGGTGCAGCTCCTTGACCTTGAACTTCCTGGCTTCTAGAACTATAAGAAATATTTTTTTTTCTTTATAAAATCCCCAGTCTGAGGTATTCAGTTACAGCAAGAGAAAACTGACTAAGCCAGATCTGGCTTTCCCATAACGTATGTGTGCGGCTTGGGGCTCCCCCGTTCAGGGCCTCGCCTCCTTGGTACAATGAGAAAATGGGTTTAGATGGTTTCCGATTATTTGGTCATAGAATGATAAAAAAATTAAACTGGGCAGATTCTACTCTTTCCTATGTAGGCTAAGTGGCACTTCAGAGGGGCCTTCTGCCCCCTCATTTTTACAAGTGTTTTGAGGAACATGGGCTGCTGCCACCCGTTCCTGGTATTGTCTTCGACTACGCTGGGAACCCCAGCTATGGCCGGGGAGGGAGCACACCAGAGCCTTGCGATCACCCACACGCACCGCAGAGGGCAAACACAGCTGGCTCTTGGCTGCTTCTGCACCTGCAGAGGCAGACGGCTCAGCTGCCGGACTCCTGCCTGGACAGGTTTGTTCTGAATGAAGGAACCAGGGGAATCCAGCGCCAGAGCTGTCCCCCTGGAGGACGGTTCCCCTGGTGGCCCTGTCTCAAAGATCTCAATCTCTCTTCCTGAACGGTGGGTATGCCGAAGGAAATAACTTTCCTGCCCACCTGATCGTTGTTTAGTCAAGAAGAGGATGGAGTCCACATTTAGAGATGGCAGAGGTGGTCAGATCCATGGTGGGCAGAACTGAGAACAGAAGGATCAAGGGAGAGAACGTCTCCGGGAGCGTGTCGTGTGCCCTGGAGGGGGCAAGGCGGTGAGAAATGGCATTTATAAGTACTTATAGGGGAAAAAAGCAAACGACTAAAAATAAACAGTCATACCCACACACTGAGTCACTTCAGAGGCATCTCTAAGTGCTTAGCTGCCACCATAAGGATGTGGCAGAAGGTAAGGAAAGAGGAAGAGGGGAAGGAGTTGGGGTGGACAGGTGGAGACGCAGATGACCTGCTAGATGGGCCCAGCCAGTTGACCTTGGCCCCATTTCGTGAGGAGGGAGCTGTGGTCACAGATAGTACAATTCATTGCATTTTTAAAGTGAATTGTTTTAATGATATCTGCTTAGTTTTCTCAAACTAAGCATTTTTTTTGTATTCAGTCTCTCTGAAGTCACTGGATCTATAGCAGGGGTCTCACTCTGAATCTGTGCTATCACTGCATGTTGGGAAGACTAATGGGGTAGAGCTCAGATATGCTGTCGTGAGGGACCAAGTCGTGTCTTGGGAGAGGGATGTCTTTGGGAAAAGATCTGAGCTCATGTGTTCTGGGGGCAGGGTCCATGTATGGAAACTATTGTCAGGGTGACTCTTTGGAAACAGATCCTATAAGCACACATCCTACCTGGTGGATTGTGTGTGTGTGTGTGTGTGTGTGTGTGTGTGTGTGTATAAAGTCAAGCACATGGGGAGAATTGCATTTGTCAAAAATGTCTAAGACATTCCTCTCTTCCTTAATTCCATAGTATTTGTTGAGCACTTACTATGTGCCAGGTCTGGTACATGTCACTGGGGTATAGTGATGGCTACCCATCCTGCACATATTTGAGGGGACCAAGACCCCTGATGTATGAAGTAAAGTAAGCAAATGCCAGCTGGTGATGAAGAAATAATCAGATTAATGAAATTGAGAAGGATTAGGGGGTGGGATTTCTTGGTGAGATTTGAAAGATGACGAGGAGTCAGCCAGACAAGAAGCAGGGTGCTTTGGGCAGTGAGAATGACAACTGCAAAGCCCCTGAGGAGGGAAGGAATTGGCACGTCCTGTGGCCTGAGAGGAGGCCAGAGAGGATGAAGCAATAATGAACAGGCTTGGAGAGATGGGAAGTGAATGGGCCATTGCAGCAGGGTTTCTTAACTGCAGTGCGACTATTGGCATTTGGGACTGGAAGACTCTGTTGTTGGGGGTTGTGCTGTTTATTAGAGCAGGGGTCCCCAACCTATGGTGAGTTGACTAATTATTTCATTATATATTACAATGCAATAATAATAGAAATAAAGTGCACAATAAATGTAATGCTCTGAATCATCCCCAAACCATCCCCCCATTCTCTGGTCCATGGAAAAAATTGTCTACCATGAAAATGGTCCCTGGTGCCAAAAGGGTTGGGGACTGCTGTATTAGAGGATGTTTTACAGCATCCTGACCTCTACCCACTAGATGCCAATAGTTCTGCCCAGTTGTGACAAATGTCCTGGGAAAGTTGAGAATGAACGACTGGTTTACAGCTGTAAGCCCACCAAAAAGAAAGTGGGACCCTAAGGACAGCTACCAGAATGTCAAGCAAAAGAGGCTATGGGTAATTTTTTTTGTTTCTACTTGGCTAGACCATGGTACCAGATCTTTGGTCAAATGTTATCCTGGATATTTCTGTGAAGGTAGTTTTTTAGATGAGATGAACATTTAAATCGGCAGGCTTGGCATACAGCAGATTGCCTTCCATGATTGTGGGTGGGCCTCATCCAAACAGCAGAAGGCTTTGCAAGAAGAGACTGAGCTCCCCCAAAAGACAGAATCCTGCCAGTGGACTGCCTTGGGGCTCTGCAACATCTGCTCCTCCCTGGTCTTCCAGCTGCTGGGGATTTGGGAATTGACAGCTACAGTCACAAGAGCCAGTTCTCTAAAATCAATCTCTCTCTCTCTCTCTGTCTATCTATCTATATATATATATATACACACACACACATACACATATGCACAAACACACATATATATGTATATATATGTACATGCACACACATGTCTTCTTTGTTCTGTTTCTCTGAATATATATGTGTACATATGTACATACACACATCTCTCTTTCTATATATACATACACATATATCCTTTTGGTTTTCTCTCTTATGTGCTCTCTCTCTCTATATATATATACACACACACACACCTCTCTCCCTACCTCCCTCCTGTTGGTTCTGTTTCTCTGGAGCATCCAGGAGCAACAGGCATTCTTCATTCTCCTCACCTTGGCACTGGATCCAGGGACTTCTGTGACCACTGCTTTGGGTGGTAACGGGGTGGTAGGACTGGGTGTGGATGACAGTGGAAGGTGGCTGGAGCCATCGGAGAGCTTCAGGAGCACCACAGAAGCCACATGCTTGGCAGGGAGGGCACTTTTCTTGTTGCAGAGCCTGGCGCAGGGCAGGAGGTGAGGCCCTCCCTGAGGCCCTGCGGTTAACGGAGGCCTCGCAGAAGGATGGTAGAAGATGGATGCAGGGAGGAAGGAGCTTGTCGCTGCTGCACTGGAGGTCACCCCTGGGGACACTCCTACTAATGAGAAGGTAGGACTCTGAGGGGGCTGGAGATGACGTAAGGGGAGGTGACAGTTGAAGAACAGGGAGGGTCACAGCTGTTTTGTGATGATATTCTAACTCCCAGGCTGGTATGGGAAAACTGGGGATGTGTTAAAATAGATATAGGAGAAATGTATCAAACTGAGTGTAACTTAATTATCTGGTGGTCCTTAAATGGTGCACAGGTAAGGATGGATTGTCTGTGTGCAACCTGACAGCTAGGTAACAAAAACATTGCCTGGAAAGCAGCAGCAATACACACGGGTGGTCATTGTCTCCCCATTTCCTACCTTTTGGGACTTACAGAAGTGCTTAGATTGCCCTATGAAGATATCTGACTTTTAATGGATAAAACCACAAGACACATCATCTTACTAAATATCCAGAAGTTGGATTCTTTCCCAAGAGAGGCCAGAATGACTAGGAAAAGTAGTTTCTTCTCTGTTTCCTGCTAGGCGACTACACAGGTTTTCTGATTTGGTGGGGAGAAGGAAGAGAAGTTTCTTTTTATAGATGTTGGTTTTGGAGTGAGTTCCAGCAGTCGCTACGGGTATCTATGCAGTCTTCTCAGTAAACTTGCTGTGACTTGGCCTTAAGAGGAAGTTTGGCGGCCTTGACTCTTGGGATATGTTGCTGATCCAACCTGAAACCCTCCTGTAGGTTGAGTCAGCAACATATCCCATGACTTTTGGGTGATAGGTTCTTTTACATAAGACCATACAGCACAAGGCCCTTTCTGCATAGTGTTGAGTTTCCCAGAGGCTATGACCAGGGATTAGACCGAGGTAAAAAAGTTTAAGAGATACTGCTAAAAAGCATTGAGTAATGCATAACTTGGCTTAGTCATGTTCTTCAAGTGTTCGTGGAGAGCCAATAAGACCATAGGTAACTGAGAATGAAATGTGTTTATTTTCACACGTGGGGATAGCTCCAGTGAAAATGAATCCCTTCAAACATTTTAATTCCAATTAACTTCATGCTATAAGAGATGCACAACACACTCACATATTTATTTTTTTTGGCTTGTATTGGTTTTGCTATAACTGTAGTTTTCCAAACCTGGCTTTATATAAGCGCACAGAAGTTTTTCTTAAAAATGATCCAATTTGATCAAAATGATCTAAATATAAAAATCTCAGAAAGAAAAAAAAAGCTGTATCAACACATAGCTAACCAAGTAGTTGTGATCCTTACTATTTGGGCTTTTTTTGGATACATGATAGTTGTACATTTTGGAGGGTATATGTGATATTTTGATACATGTATATATTTTGATACACATATATACTATGTAATTATCAAATCAGGGTAACTGGGATATCCATCACCACAATCATTTATCTTTTCTTTGTTTTGGGCTTTTGATAATCATTCTATGTCTCTGGTTCTCCACCATTTCTTTCCCACGGATGCTGCTTACTGCTAACCTTCCTATTGGGAATGGCAGCTCATGCTGCTTGTATAATATCGAAATTTCCAGCTTCAAACCCTCTCCCTTCTTACGTATTGATCTCATGTACGTCAACACTGTGCTGACCCTGCACCGTGGTTGACTACTGCTGATCTGGCTTATAAGATGGGCGGCACGATGAGCCCACCTTCAGATACTTCGAATAAATTGTGACCTCACATTTGAACATGTGGTTTGACATCATCTAAGTCTGTCCATTTCAGTGTTTTATTTAAATAGGAAGCATAGTTCTGCCAAACATTAATGTAAATTGATATTCCTTAATGAGGGAGTATTTGTAGCAGGAAAAAAACAAAACAAAACTTTGTCCTTTGTACTCAAGAGACCTTGATTTGGAGTCAAATCCAAGAAGTTTTGAGCAGATTACTCAATTTATTCTGAGTGTCAGTTTTCTTACCTACAAAGTTAGGCTAATAATAATTGGCCCTAACTCACACACAGCATTATTGTGGTAGTCACAAGCAATAATGTGATTGAAAGTGATTTGTAAGTTTCCAAGCACCAGGCATATATAAGATTGCTCTCAGTCAAGAAATAATTATTGAGCACTTACTGTGTGCTGGCATCCACAGTTTAATCCAAGTTTAATATCCAATATTGAGTAAGACAAGGTCCCTGCCATCAGGGATTGGACTAGGAGAAGCCCATGAAATTAGAAGGAATTAAAATTCTCTGGACCTCATCTAAGAAGTAATGAGAATTTAAACTCTATGATTAATTAGCTTCACAAAGCTTTAAATAGCATTAATTGAATTTTTTTGCACATTGGCTTCAATTTTGTTTTTGAGTCAAGATGGTAAGGTTGAGACATTAATGTATATATTAAAATAGAACTCTTTCTCTAATTATGATAGTAATAGATATTCATTTAAATTAAAGGCTACTGAATTACAAAAAGCTGAAACAGGAAGCCCTTTGACTTGACCTAGGTTTGAATACCAGCTCTGGTCTCACCAGTTGCATGACCTCTCAGACTCTCAGTTTCCTCAACATTAAAATGGGGTTAATGAACAGGAAAATCTTGTGAGAATTAAGAGAAAAGTACTTTAAAATGCCAAGCATAATATTTGGTGGGTATTTTAAAGATATGTTTTTTCTTTTAATCCTTCCTCTGTTTTTAAAGTTAATTTGAGTAGAATTAACTTTACATGTAATGTAGCGATCTGAAAAAAAAACACAGTCTTCTATGAATATATATTTGTCCATTCATTTCAGGCTCTATTTTGGCATAACAAATGCCTACAAATGTCCAGTGTCCAGGGGAAGGGACTTTCTGGCCATTACAAACTAACTGTCTCAAGGACTTTGCAGATAGTTGATCATTAACTCTCAGGAAATGCCTAACCTATAAATTATCCTGGCTGCCTTAAATTTTTGAGGAAAAGACTTATTGAAAAAAAATTTTTTTTTTTTATTTAATAACTTTAACCTCTAACCACAGTAATTTTCCTGTGGGCATAAACATAGTAAAATGTCTTTTCTGAGTATTTAAAGATGGGAACAAGCAAAATAAGTAAATAATGAAGTTTCACTTTCATTATTCTACAGGAATAGGTGTATCGTAAATGAAGGACAGAAAATTTGCCAGTTAGCAAGGAAGCAGAAAAGGTTTTATTTTTTATTGATTTCTCCAGTGTTGTGACTCAGGGCATATCGGATAAAACAACTCCTACACTAATGAAAACAGATTGTTTGCTCCTCAGGTAGCAGGTCCCAAAGAACAGCAGATAACCTGAAAGTATTTCTCACAAATCTTCTGGGCATTAGAATGGATATCATGGAGTCACATGAAAAAGAAATGTCTTTCTTTTTTGAGGGAAGATGGCATGGTGAGAGCCTGGACTTTGGTGTCATCAGAACCAACTGGTTCTGATGACAATGGACTCCAAATCATATTCTGTGACCTAGGCAAGCTGGTCACCTTCTCAGAGACTTAATTTTCTCCTCTTTGATGAGACTTAATTTTCTCCTCTTTGATGAGACTTAATTTTCTCATCTCTGCCTCATAAGAAAGTCTACAGGATTGTGTGGGAACATATAGTCACATTTCCTGCACACAGTAGGCATTTAATAAATGTTTATTATATTATTATATTAATTATTAATATATTAATCAATCAATATATTATTAATATATTTAATTAATTATTAAATAATAATTATTATTATAAATAATTATTTCTCTGTCTCCCCTCACTAAAAATGTTAGGCTAGGTGTTTCTAAAACCAAACATCTCTCATTTGAATGGCAGGTTATAAAATACTTCCACACACATTGTCTCCTTTGAGTTTTCAAAACAACCCTGGGAAGTAGGTGGGCGTGGGCTTAGTGTTAATGGTATTTTACAAATAAAGGTCTGGTGCTCTGAGAGATTGTGAGAACTCATTGCCCAGTCGCTTGGCTGGTGAAGGAGGATCCTGGGAGAAGGTCCAGGCCATGTGGCTCCTGAGTCTGTGCTTTCCCTGCCATACTTGGTAGGCATCCATCCATCTCTTTGTTGAAGATGCAAAGGCAAGCTTAAATACATTCTTGTTTTCAGATAATAACTGTATCAGTCAGGGTGCAACCAGAGAAACACAACCAGCGTGGGATTTATCACAAGGAATCAGCTTATGCAATCGTGGGGACCTGAGCGGGACTGGGGCCCACAGGGCAGGTGGTCAGGAAGAGAAGTTGTGAGCATGCCGGAATTCCAGAAATAGGAGCTGAAACATGGAATCTCTCAACTCAGGGAGGGGCCAGGCCCTCTTTTAAAGGATTCCCAGCTGATTAAGTCAGGTCTACCCAGATTGCTTCTCTATTGATTAACTTAAAGTCAACTGTTTAGGAAGATTAATCATATATGGGGCCACAAAGCAAGTCTCAGAAAATTCAGAAAGAGAAAAATCATATCATGTATCATCTCAGGCCACAGTAGAATACAACTAGAAATCAAATCCAAAAGAAACTCTCAAATCCACACAAAGTAATGGAAATTAAAGTCAACTGATTAGGGACCTTAATTACATCTGCAAAATCCCATCACATCAGCATCTGGATTAGAGTTTGCTGAATCGCTGGGAGAAGTATGTGCTACAATATGGCTACTGCCTCCTCTCCCCTCTCCTCCTCCCAGGACAGGGTATTCTTTGTAGTCTACCCTACACACTAGAAAGATAATCCTAGGGATTATAGTTCAACTGAGCCCAGTTGAAAAATCATGAACCCATCATAATGACAAACCAAAGCCCATCACTGAAATGTCTTTCTCTAGCAATGTGTTTCTCTTGCACCTGTTTAAACCTTCTAGTCACTGCAAGAGGTGGTTGAGCAAACTGGAAAACTGGTCACTGTGAGTTTACCCCTAGCATTTCTGCCATCGGGTTCCAAGGACAGAGCTTCTTTGCACACTAGCTCTTGTGGATTGGATTTCTGGATGATTCCCAGAGAAGTTCCACATGAGGAGTGTTTGCTGGTAGATGGCATGGGTGTATATCTCACAGTTGAACTTGAGGTGCTTAACCATTTTCTGGCAAA